CACTCCTCTGGGTGCCCCCCCCCTCGCTCCGCGCACGCGAGGTCGTCGACTGATCGATAAGCTTGGCGTCCCCAGGATGGCTTCAGAGGGGCGGCCAGACTTACAGTCAACCCGCATAGGAAGGACGAGCGACTCTCCCAGGTTACACCTGTATCCTTGCCCTTCGGCCCATCTTCGGCGCTTTCGCCGGCCGCGCCCCGCTCGCAGAGTGTCGGCATGGCCCTCCACGGCCCTTGTATCCTTACAGTGCCGTTTGTAATACACGCTCCGCGTGCGGATCATGTATTAAACAATGCAGGGATCTAGTATTAAAAACAACGATGTGGTCATGTATACATGCATTCATAAATCATTTTTTTTTTTTTTTTTTTTTTTTTTTTTTTTAATTCCACATGTTTAAGATCCAATGCATCAAGAACTGCACTGTATCGTGCGCCCTTACTCTACGGGTTGACCCTGCGCCCCCGCCGCCGGGAGGAGACCAAGGGCTTCGTCGGCCGCGCCCTCATGGAGCGGCTGCGGCCCGAGTCCGTGCTCGTCAACGTGGCCCGCGGCCCGGTCATCGACCAGAAGGCCTGCGCCGATCGGGGGCGGCAGAGAGGGGGGCGATGACTAGGTCGACTAGACGTAAGAGTGACCTTTCGCCAGAGTGACCTTTGGTGCGGGCACAGATGGGCCCCCAGATGGCCGAACGCGAAGCGGTAGCAGCGGCTAGCGCGCCTGGATTTGGCCTGGATTTGGCCCGCGGCCCGGTCATCGACCAGAAGGCCTGCGCCGATCGGGGGGCGGCAGAGAGGGGGGCGACGACTGGGGTTGAGTCGGGCCTGTCCCTCTCCAGGGGGGACATTCCAAAATCGTCAAGAAGTAGTCGGGGGATTCTTTTTTTGGCGATTTTTGGGCCTTTTTAGTCCATTTTTTGGGGCATTTTTTTGAACTTCTTCGTCCAAAATCGGCCTATAGGAGGACATGACATGCCCGACTTAAGACAAGGGGGGGTGGATACCATGTCGGGGGCCATGATATTTCCTCAGATTTCATGGCGCCTCTTCTTATGTCATTGCGTCCCTGGCCCCCCCCGCTGGGCCGCGCACATGCCGCCGGTCATGATTTGCACCCCCCCCCTCTTGGACACCCCCCTCTTGGCCGCTCCCGAGTCGACGCCCGCCGCTTGCAATTCCGTCTCGTGGGCCGCCGGCAGGAGAGCAAAGGGGGAGGAGGAGGAGGAGTCGGAGGAGGAGGAGGAGGAGGAGGACCAGTGTAAAACCAGGAGTCATCACCGATGTTGGAATTCACCCTCCTTCCAAGCTCCCTCTTCATAGGCCCCCACAGCGGTTAATTTCCAGTGGGGGAAGTGCCTCGTTGGAAGACAACCGTTTAAGATCCTGAAGCATGCCAAAACATTGTTCTCAGATTTCAACGCCACGTATCAACCTGACTGCGGCGTCTTGACGATCCCGAATAGTGCCAGAGCGCAATTTTCGGGACTTCAACACCGCGAATCAACATAACCGTGGCGCCCGCATAATCTTGAATCCTTCAAAAACACAGTTTCTGGTACGTTGATCATAGGAATCCGTGAAGATCTTGCACATTTGTAAACCGAATGTGCGCGGCGCCAGGATGAGAGCCACATTTTGAAAAGGAGCCGCCCTCAATCCGTGAACCTCTTGCAAATTTTTAAAACGAATGTGCGCGGCGCTCAGGCGAGAGCCACATCTTGAAAACTACCCGCCCTCAATCCGTGAAGCTCTTGCAATTTTTGAATCGAGTGCGAGTGCGCGGCGCTAAGGCGAGGGCCACATTTTGAAAACGACCCGCCCTCAATCCGTGAACCTCTTGCAATGTTTATATCGGATGTGCGCGGCGCTAAGGCGAGAGCCACATTTTTTGGAAACAACCCGCCCTCAATCCGTGAAGCTCTTGCAAGTTTTTAAAACGAATGTGCGCGGCGCTAAGGCGAGAGCCACATTTGAAAACGACCCGCCCTCAATCCGTGAAACTCTTGCAATTTTTTGAAGCGAATGTGCGCGGCGCTCAGGCGAAAACCACATTTTGAAAACCACCCGCCCTCCATCTGTGAAGATGTTGCCACTTTATAAACTTCGTAGTCATGAATGGTGAGGAAGGAAGTATCAGGCGAAACGTCCGGCCCGACCTGAAGAGAGTTATCAGTAAAGTGAAGGAATGGAGGAGGAGTTGGAATAACAATAATAATAGACATGATAATAACGATGATACGAAGGCTAATCATACTGATATTAAGAGTGGTAGTAGTAGTAGTAGTAGTAGTAGTAGTAGTAGTAGTAGTAGTTAGAATAATACGACTAGCACTAATAATGCAGATGTTACTAAGCACTATAATAATAACATGAAGAAGAATAAGACAACGAAACATAAGACGAATGATACGAAACATATTACTATTAATATTACGAACCATAAAAATAAGAAGAAGCTACGAATCATACAATAAGAAGAATACTAAGTATAATACCAATACTAACACACATAGAAATAATACTAGTTATACTAATGAGCATCATAATAATATGAAGAAGAAGAGGGGGATGAGGATACATAGGAGGAAAGGGAGGGAGGATGAGAATGAGGAGGAGGATAATGAGGGGGAGATGGGGGAGGGAGAAGGTAGGGAGGGGGTCTAGGCAAGCTTGGTGCGCTCGCGTTATATCTGACGTCCTACCCCTCCCTCCCATCCCTTACGATGGCGTAGATATCCTCTCTATTCGCGCGGGCGGATGTCGAGCAGGGCAATGATCGCGAGAGGGTACGCGATGCATGGTAGAGCATGGCATGGCATGGCGTAGAAGAGCACGGCAGAGCGTAGCATGCGAGATCTTGGCGTGGCATTGCGCAGAGAAGCGTTTCATCACAAAGCATTGCAACTCAAAGCGTGGCTTTGCACAGCGGCGCAGAACACAACACCGCACAGCATGTCATGGCATGGCGCCAGGTTCCTCGGAGGGTGAGTGGATCATCTTCGAGACGTCTGGGCCGGTCCGGAGTCGTGGCTCCATGTCTAGCTCCTTGGGTTCCACACACAGCATGGCATGGCGTAGAAGAGCACGGCAGAGCGTAGCATGCCACAACATGACGTGGCGCTGCGCAGTGAAGCGTTGCATCACAAAGCGTTGCAGCGCAAAACATGGCGTCGCACAGCGGCGCAGAACACAACACCGCACAGCATGTCATGGCATTCCCCGAAAAGCTCCACTCACGGCGGGGCTGATGGAGAGCACAGGCTGGCTCTGCTTCCAACGCCGCCTTCTCAAAGCAGAACCGGGACTCCCGCTTGATACTTCTTGGAAACAGCGACGCCCCAAAGTGGGGGGGGCTTCTGCGGACCGAGAAATCAACGAATCGACACCGAATGCGGAATCATTGCCGATGTTTTTTTCGGGGGGCCATTTTCTAGATTTTGGGGCCTATTTGGAAGGAAGGCTACCGCTGCAGCGGGAGCATGATTGGGAACGAGCGGAAGCGCGGACATGAGGCCAGCGCGGCAGCGGGAGCACGATTCGGAACGAGCGGAAGCCCGAAATTGAGGCCAGCGCTTCAGCGGGAGCATCATATCGAAACAAACCCAAGCAAAAACCCAATTCCTCTGAATCTTGCGTGTTAGAAAACAGTACGCTGAGGGGGGTCGGATATTTTCCGGACGTCATCAGGGGAGAGGAGAGTGGTATTCATATTGTGTAATCGTGGAAGGAGGAGGAGGAAGAGGAGGAGGAGGATGAGGAGGAGGAGGAGGGGGAGGAGGGGGAGGAGGGAGAGGGGGAGGCGGAGGGGGAGGAGGGCAAGCTAGGTGCGCTCGCGTCATATCTGACATCCTACCCCTCCCTCCCATCCCTTACCATGGCGTAGATCCCCTCTCTACTCGCACAGTCGGATGTCGAGCAGGGCAATGATCCCGAAAGGGTACGCGATGCATTGTAGAGCACGGCATGGCATGGCGTAGAAGAGCACCGCAAAGCGTAGTATGTCACAGCATGGCGTGGCGTGGCGTAGTGAAGAATTGCATCACAAAGCTTTGCAACGCAAAGCATGGCATCGCACAGCGGCCCCGAACATAACATTGCATAGCATGGCGTTGAAGATCAAAGCGTAGCATGGCATAGCATGACGTGGTACTTACGCGCTGGATATGACAGCTGCAGCTGAAGGCATGGCATCGCGCAGCGGAACGCAACCTAGCATTGCATTGCATGCCGTGGCATGGCACGGGAAATGACGCCAGCGCTGCAGCGGGAGCACGATTGGGAACGAGCGGAAGCGCGGAAATGAGGCCAGCGCTGTAGCGGGAACACGATTCGGAACGAGCGGAAGCCCGAAAATGAAGCCCGCGCCTCAGCGAGGGCATCATTTTGAAAAAAACGTCCAAGCGAAAACCCAACTCCGGGAACTCCGGTGTGTAAAAAACAGTACGCGGAGGGGTGCCCGCTATCTTCCGCACGCCGTCAGGGGATGGAGGAGAGTAGTATTCATATTGTGTAATTGTGGAGGGGAGGGAGGGGGAGGAGGGGCACGAGGAGGATGATGAGGATCAGGAGGAGGAGGAGGACGAAGACGAAGAGAAGGAGGAGGAGGACGAGGAGAAAAAGGAGGAGGAGGAGAAGGAGGAGCAGGAGGAGGGGGAGGAGGAGAAGGGGGAAGAGAGGGATGAGAGGGAGGTGTGGGAGTGGTGGAGGAGGCGCAGGAGGGGGATGAGAAGGGTGTGGACGATGATGTTGCTGCTGCTGCTGCTGCTGATGATGATGATGATGATGCCGATGCCGATGCCGATGCCGAAGATTATGATGATGATGATAATGATGATGGCGATGCTGATGCTGATGATGATGATCACGACGATGATGATGCTGATGCTGATGATGCTGATGATGATGATGATGATGATCGCGCCGATGATGATGATGCTGATGCTGATGCTGCTGATGCTGGTGATGAAGATGCAGCTGATGATGACGACGATGATGGTGCTGAGTATGATGATTCTGATGACGATGGTGATGGTGATGCTGATGCTGATGATGATGATGATGGTGGTGATAGTGGGATGACGATGAAGCTGATGACGACGATGATGATGATGCTGATGCTGATGATGAAGATGATACTGATGCTGCTCACAGTGATGACGACGACGGCGATGATGCTGATGATAATGATGACGGCGATGACGATGACGATGATGACGACGATTATGCTGATGCTGATGATGAGGAGGAGGCATATGATGATGATGAGGATGATGATGTTTGTGAGGATGACGATGATGATGACGCTGTCGACGATGATGATGCTGGTGCTGCTGATGATGATGCTGATGCTGATGCTGATGACGATGATGACGATGATGATGATGGTGGTGGTGGTCATTATGGATGATGGTGGCGATGGTGATGGTAATGGTGATGGTGATGATGATGATGCTTCTGCTGCTGCTGATGATGATGGTGACGACGATGACGGTGAGGTTGATGGCGATGCTGATGATGAATACGATGCTGCTCATGATGATGATGCTGATGCTGATGATTCCGATTATGCTGATTATACTGATGACGATGAGGATGATGAGTATGACGATGAGGAGGAGCAGGTTGAGGATGAGAATGATGATGCTGATGATGATGCTTATGATGCTGCTGCTGATGATGATGATGATGTTCATGGTGATGGTGATGGTGATGCTGATTGTGATGGTGGTCATGCTGCTCATGGTGGTGTTGGTGGTGCTGCTGGTTAGAATGCAGTTACTGCAATTGATGCTGCTGACGATGATTCTGATGCTGCTGAGGATGACGATGATGCTGATGCTGCTGCTGCTGATGATGATGATGATGATGCTGATCAGGATGGTGGTTATGAGGACGATGCGGCGGATGACCATTATGCGGCTGATGACCATGATGCTGCCGATGATGATGATGATGCTGATGCTGATTCAAATACTGATGCTAATGATGATGCTCATGGCGCTGAGTATCATGATTCTGATGACGACGATCATGATGCTGATCATGGTGATGCTGTTGCTGATGATGCTGATGTTGATGATTATGATAATGATGATGATGATACTGCTGACGATGATACCGCAGACGATGATGATGAGGATGATGATGATGCTGATGCTGATGCTGATGCTGATGCTGATGCTGCTGATGATGATGATGCTGATGATGATGACGATGATGAGGAGGAGGAGGATGCTGCTGCTGCTGCTGCTGCTGATGATGATGATGATGATGATGATGGTGGTGGCGGTGGTGGATGATGATGATGAGGATTAAGAGGAGAAGGGATGGATGATGAGGGTTGAGCAGGTGTCAGAGGAGGACGGATGATGAGTGAGGTAGAGGATGAGTCTTGAGAAGGAGGAGCAGGAGCAGGAGGAGGAGGACGAGAAGGAGGAGGTGGAGGTGAAGGAGGAGGAATACAGGAGGAGGAGGCGGAGGAGGAGGAAGAGGAGGAGGAGGGACGTGCATCAGCCGACGAGATCAAAACATGTCTACCGCCCCAGGCCACGCACATCGTGGTCCCAGGATGGGTGCACGGCTGGTACGAGGGCTGAGAACGGCCCAGCTCTGGCCTTTGAGGGGGGGTACCCTCCTGTTCGTCGTGCTGTCTGGGCTCCCTCCTCTGGAGTGTTCTCCGTTTTTGGGCACCTCCGTGGCGCAGCCGCATCGGCGAAGGGCCCCGTGCTCTCGGCCCGCGTCTGTGGTGGCCAGGCCAAGCCAGGGGGGCGCCTGCACGGGCCCTGGGCCCAGGATGGGCCTGTCCAGGGGCCTTGGCATCGCTCGGACGTGTGCATGTTTTCTCGGCGAGAACCATCGAGGACCATCCTGGACCATCGAGCAAACAAACACACGCACGAAACCGAAACATGCATGGGAAATGGACGTCCGAGCGACGGCAAGGGGCGGTTGACATGCGTACCCATCGGTCGTTGAGGTAGGTACGTCCTCTTGAGCTTCCACAGCGCAATCTGCTGCAAGCGCCTTCCTGCTTCCAGAATCGGTGTGACTTGCTCGTTGTTCTTCGGGCGGGCCCGAACCCAATCTACTTTATCCGCCTTCCTACTCCATGTTTCCACCTACTTCTTCCGACCGGTGTGTGGAGATCTCGCCGTTCAAAGCCAGAGCCCTGCCGGGGCGGGGTGTTGGGCGGAGCGCGGTCGACGCCGTCTCCACCGACCTCTGGTGAGTTGCTGTGCTTTTTGTGCCGTCGCGGCGCTGTTCCCTTCATGTCGGAGTCTGGTGGCCTTCTCCGGGCCCAGGGACGAGCAGGCATATTGATCTGGGACGAAAATCGGGATCCCGCGAAGGGTGTGTGTGCCCCGGAGTGTGTGTGTGTGTGTGTGTGTGTTTTGCACCGAACCGCCCAAAACAGATGGCCCCCAGCCGCCAGCGGCTCCCGACATTTGCCAACAGGTGGGGCATGATGCGGGGGGGCATCTGCTTGCGGCAGCTCGGTGCACCAGCGGATCGAACTCGTGCCCCCCCTCAGGCCCCCCCCCCTTGGTGGCTCCCGAGAGAACCCCGGGGGCAGGAGTCGGGACCTTCTTGGGGCCGCAGGCTGAAGACGTCACACCGTCGGGCTGCCTGGGCCCGCCGCCTTCGCCGCCGCCCTCCCTCTGCACTTCTTGTGGTGCGCAGGCCCTAGTCGGCGCCTCCCCTCGACGCGACGAGGCCGGTTTCGGAGAGCCCGCCCCGAACGAGTTTGTGTCGTCTCTCTCTCCGACCTGTCGCCGACCTGCCTTTTTTCTTGAGCAGCACTGCTCCCCAGTCGTTACTCGGAGGTTTCGTGGTTCGGGAGACTCTTCATGGGGGGGATCCCATGGGGGGATAGGATCCCAGGGGGGGATTCCATAGGATCCCCTGGGGATCCGATGGGGGGGCAGGAGGGGATCCCATGGGGGAGATCCCCTCCTGCCCCCCCATGGGATCTCCCCCATGGAGAGTCTCCTGGGTGGTGGCCTTCAGTCTCTGCCCGAGGATGGGCGCGATCTGAAAGCTTAGATCGACCGCCCTGCAGCGAGGGCCCGCCGGCCCACCGCCGGCCTCCGCCGGCGAGCCCCTCGCCGTTTCGCTTCCTCCGCCCTCCGCCGAGGGCCGGGCGCGCCGAAGCTTTTGGGGCCCCCGCGCCCCGCCCCGCCCCGCAGGGAGCGGGGGAGCGGTCGCCGTCTGCGTGCCGCTCGCGGCGGAGCGGCCGCACTTTTTTTTTGGGGGGGGGGCGGGGGGGGGCGTCCTCGTCGTCCTCGTCGTCCTCCTCCTCCTCCTCCTCCTCGTCCTCCTCCTCCTCCTCCTCCTCGTCCTCGTCCTCCTCCTCCTCCTCCTCCTCCTCTTCCTTCTCCTCCTCTTCCTCCTCCTCCTCCTCGCACTTCTTCTGGGGGGGCGGGGACGGGGGGGGGCGCGCTGGTTCAGCTTCACCGCGGGCGTCGGGCGGATGAGACCGCCCGGCGGAGAATGGTGCTGCTGCTGAGCGGTGGGGATGGGGATGAGGAGGAGCAGGACGGGGGAGGATGGATGAGAGAGGAGCAGGTGAGTATCTCATGGCCTTCGGCCCATCCCGCCACTGGGTTGTGGGTCAGAGTTCTCTGGGATGCTTCTTAGGGTCTCCTCGGAGCGCTCGCGGGGGGCCTCTTGGGTGCAGTTTTGAGGCCTCTTGTGGGCCTCTCAGGGCCTCTTGGTGGCCCCTTGGGGGCCTCTTGGGGGAGCCCCTGGGGCCTCCTGGAGCCCCTTGGGGCCGAGGGCTCGAAATGTCCGATGGGGCTCCCCATTTGGGGTCTCTCTTGGAGCCGTCTTTGGGCCCTCTTAGGCCGTCTTGGGGCCCTCTGGGCCCTCTTTGGGGCCTCTTGCGCCATCTTGGGGCGATCTCGGGGGCCTCTTGGGTCGTCTTGGAGCGTCGGGAAACCGAAACAGCGAGAAGGCCCAAATCCTTGCTTCTTGGGGCCTTCTTAGGATGCCGCTTAAAGCGTCTTGGAGGCCTCTTGGGCCGTCTTGGGGTCATTGAAAGTGTATTTGAACGATTTTTCGGCGAATCGGGGCTCTCTGGGACCGTTCTGGGTGGGCGTAGTAGCGTCTAGAGGACCCGCATGACCTCCCGCAGAACTCACGGGAGCCAGCCCAGAAGACCGGAACGGCTTGGGAAACGACTGGTCCAGGCCCTTAAAGACTTACACTTCTTGCAGCACCAGCAGCAGCAGCAGCAGCAGCAGCAGCAGCAGCAGCACAGCCTCTACCTTTCAGTGCTGCATGAGCCTTGGGGCACTCCGCTTTGTGCCTGAGGCACGTTGGCGGATTGCGGAGTATTGCGGAGGTTGGAGGAGGCAGGAGGGAGGCGGGAGGAGGAGGTGTGAGGAGGGGGGGAAGGAGGAGGAAGAAGGAGGGAGGAGGAGGATGGAGGAGCAAGGGCGAGAAGGGATGAGAGAGGAGGAGGAGGGAAGGAAGAGGGAGGAGAGAGGTGAGGAAGGATGGGGGAGGAGGGAGGATGAGGGACGAGGGAGGAGGAAGGTCGCGTCCAGCGCGGCGCCCAGTCCGGCCGCAAGGCGATGGCCGATCTCCTGACGCAGCGCCGATTCCGCGCTGGGCTCGACGTGTTCGAGGCGGGTGCCCCCTTCTTTGCGCGGGGGAGGGGTAATAACAAGTCGGCATAGACTAAAATTGGGCGTGGCCCTCTACAGGAGGAATATTCAAGCATAGTCAAGAAATAGTTTTTTTTTTTGTTTAAACCATACTATTTTCGATAATCTCTTTTTTGGGACAATCTTTTATTTTTCTTCCATCCGCTGGTAGGGGGACATGGGCTTCAGGTGCAAAGGGGGCCTGGTGCCTTGGCTTCAGTCGTTTTCGCCCCCCCGCGATTTTAAGATTTTTGCGCGAAACGTTCCTCCTCTTCCTCCTGCGCGGAACTTTCCTCCTCTTCCTCCTCCTCCTCCTCCTCCTCCTCCTCCTCTTCCTCCTCTCCCTTCATCCTATCATCCTCTCATCCTCCTCATCATTTTTCTCTTGCTCGTCCTCGCCCCCCCCACCTCCCGTTCCCCCCTCCTCCTCCTCCTCCTCCTCTTCCTCCTCCTCCTCCTCCTCCTCCTCCTCCTCCTCCTCCTCCTCCTCCCCCCCCTCCTCCCCCCTTCCAAGAGAAAGCCATACCGTAGGAAAACACTGGGACACAACAATCCAACGCAAACAGAGAAACTGACTTGCTGGAGGCTGAAACTTTGGAAAACACTTGGGACAACACCAACCCAAGCACACCAAACCTCAAGATCCCAGGGAACACCCGTCCGAAGGGACCACCTCCTCCTCCTCCTCCTCCTCCTCCTCCTCCTCCCCCCCTCCAGCGGAACGCCATACCTTTAGGGAAACCATGAGAAAGCCAAAACAACCAAAGAAACTGAAGTGCTGGGGGCTGAAACTTTGGAAAGCAATTGAGCACACAAGAACAACAACCACAGTTTCCAAGCACTGTCGTTCGCCCATGTAGCCTACCCTTTGGGGCGGACGGGATTTCCATGTTTTTTTTGGTTAGCCCAATGTTTTTTCTAAGGTTTCCGCCTCCAGCACTTCAGTTTCTTCGTTTTTTTTGGTTTTCCCCATGGTTTTCCTAAGGGTTATGGCCTTCCGCTGGAAGGGGGAGGAGGAGGACGAGGAGGAGGAGGAGGAGGAGGAGGAGGTTGTAGAGGCTTTCAATAGGAATCCTTTTGTACAGGCTTTCCACAGGAATCCTTTTGCATTGGCTTTCGCCAGGAATCCTTTTGTAAGGGATTTCAATACGAATCCTTGCGTAGAGGCTTTCAATAGGCATCCTTTTGTAGATACTTTCAATCGGAAGGCTTTTGTAGCGGCTTTCACTAGGAATCCTGTTGTAGAGGCTGCCAATAGGAATCCTTGCGTAGTTGCTCTCAATAGGAATCCTACTGCATTGGCTTTCAATAGGGAGTCCTTTTGAAACGGCTTTCAATAGGACTCAGCTTGTAATGGCTTTCAATAGAAATCCTTGTGTAGCGGCTATCAAGGAATCCGTTGGTAGAGACTTTCAATCGGAATCCTGTGCATTTGCTTTCAATAGGCATCCTTTTGTATTGGATTAGTTTGCAATAGAAATCCTTTTGTATTAGATTTCAATGAGGATCCTTCTGTAGCGGCTTTCATTAGGAATCCTTTTGTAGCGGCTTTCAATCGGAGTCTTTGTGCAGTGGCTTTTAATAGGAATCCTTTTGTAGAGGATTTCAATAGGAATGCTGTTGTCAAGGCTTTCAATAGGGATCCTTGTGTATAGGTTTCCCATAGGAATCCTACTGCATTGGCTTTCAGTAGAAATCCTTTGGTAGAGGCGTTCAATAGGAATCCTCTGGTACAGACTTCCGATAGGAATCCTCATGTAGAGGATTTCAATGGAACTCCTTGTGTGAAGGCTTTCAGTAGGAATCCTTCTGTAGATGATTTCAATCGGAATCCTTGGGTAAAGGCTTTCAATAGGAATCCTTCGTTCGTGGCTTTCAATCGGAATCCGTGTGTAGAGGCTTTCAACAGGAATCCTTTGCATGGGCTTACAACAGGAATCCTTTCGTAAGGGATTTCAATAGGGATCCGTTGGTAGAGGCTTTCGGTAGGAATCCTTTTGCACTGGCTTTCAATAAGAAGTCTTTTGCATGGGTTTCCAGTTGGCATCCCGGTGTAGATGCTTTCAAAGGGGATCCTTTAGTATTGGCTGTCAATAGAATTTCTTGTGTATAGGTTTCCACCAAGAATCCTTTTGTACAGGCTTCCGATAGGAATCATTTGGTAGCGGCTTTCAAACGTAATCCTTTTTGTAGTGGCTTTCAATAGGAATCCTTTTTGCCAAAGGCTTTCAATAGGAAGTCTTTCGTAGGGGCTTTCAATCGGAATGCTTCTGTAGAGGCTTTCAATGTGCATCCTTCTGTATAGGCTTTCAATGAGAATCCTGCTGCATTGGCTTTCAATACGAATCCTTGTGTAGAGGCTTTCAATGTGCATCCTTTTGCATTGGCTTTCAACAGGAATCCTTTTGTAAGGGATTTCAATAAGAATCCTTGTGTAGAGGCTTTCAATAAGAATACTTTTGTACAGGCTGTCAATAGGAATCCTCTGTAGAGGATTTCAATAATAATCCTTGTGTAGATGCTTTCAATCGGAATCCTTTTGTACAGGCTTTCAATAGGAATTGTTTTGTATAGGCTTTCAATCGGAATCCTTTTGTATTAGCTTTCAATAGAAATCTTGTTGTAGAAGTTTTCAATAGGAATCCTTTTGTATTAGCTTTGACTAGAAATCCCATTGTCGAGGATTTCAATAGGAATGCTTTGGTCAAGGCTTTCAAGAGGAATCCTTTCGTAGAGGTATCAATAGGAATCTCTTTTTCGAAGACGGAGGCTTTCAAGAGGAGGATAAAGAGAGAGGGGGAGAAAAAAGGAGAGAGGGGAAAGCATAGGGATAGTTTCGCATCGGTTTATTTAAGAGAAACAACAAAAGACACCAGGCCCCCCTTGCACCTGGATCGGGGACATGCCCGACATGGGCATAGACGTAAGCTGTCGGAGGTTGATAGATACGGTAGGTTCGCATCGTGCCGACGAGGCAGCGACCCCAGCGCGGGCGTTCAAGGCTGAATGCCGCCATGGACCCAGAATCGGCCAGTATGGGACGGTCTGGCGATCAAAGAGCCGCCGACCCGTGCGGTGTCAGACAGTCAGAAATCAAACGCTGGGTTTCGTCACGACGCGAGTCTAACTTACTTAAAAGGGGAAGAAGCACACAGGCACAATTAGTCGTCGATCCCCAGGAAAATATGGGAACATATGGGAAGTGGGGGGAACGCGAAACTGCAGAAAGTGTAAACAAACAGTGGGAATCATGGGATCTGTGTGCATTTATTCGGGTGTATTTGTTGGTGTGTTCCTGGGTCCTTTCGCTTGCCTGCCAACTCGATCAGCGCGCCGCCTTCCTTGTCGTTCTCGAGATGCTGGCGTGGCCGCGGCCTCCTCTCGTGGGCCTGCGCCTGTCGGGTCTGGAGTCCCGCCGTGCCGTGCGGTGCCCGTTTTTGTTGTTGTTGTTGTTGCTGTTGTTGTTGTTGTTGTTGTTGTTGTTGTTGTTGTTGTTTTGGTTTTCTGTTTGTTGTTTGTTTGTTTTTTCACCTTCTTCTTCTTTTTCTTCTTTTCGGAGCACGACGGAGGTGCCGTGCCGTGCCGTGCCGTGCCCTTCATCAGGCAGGGGCGAAGCGTCTTGGCTCGCCTATAGGCCCGCCAAAGGAGGTTCCGAGAGCCACGTGGGGTCTGCACGACATGTTCGGACTGTCTCGTTGGAGCACATCTCGGGCTTATGTTCTGATTGCACTGCTTCTGTTCTTCGAACGTGTTTGGGTTCTAAGAACATGTCGTGGTATGCCTATAGGACTGCCGTGACGGTCGGTCCATGACCAAACTCAGAATGCGGCACGAGCCAGGCCGCACCGTGCTATGCCGTGGTGACCATGGGTAGTATCATCCAGCGTTGGTGCTTGCGGCCTCTATGGAGGTGTAACTCACCGTTTCCATTTGGCATGGTGGGTCAGTCGATTGTCTGTGCCTCCATCGTTCGTGAATTGATTTGCGTTTGCGGCGCAGCATTGAACATTGAACTGAAATGGGGGAAGTTCTATATTGCAGCCTTCATGTTTTTCGATTTTGTATCCCCGGGTGCGGGATTCAGATTTCCAGCACGGACTTTCAATCCGGGATTTCAGAAGCAATAGCTGTAATTGAGCAGACCCGGACCCACTTATCTAACCCTCTTGGCCGACCCAGACCCAGACCCGAGCTCGAGACGCGCAACGTGCCAGCCACTGAGGTTGCGCAAGCGGCCGCTGCGCTGCTGCTGTCCGCATTTGTCATGGGGTGCTCGCTCGGCAGCTCCCCGGCCAGAGCTGTGTGCCTCTCCCGGGTGCCGTTCTGCCTGTGTCGGCCTGCGCACGCGCGAGTTTTTGGTTGTGCTCGTTCCCCCCCTTCCCCCCTCCCCCTCCTCTCCTCCTCCTCCTCCTCCTCCTCCTCCTCCTCCCCCTCCCCCTCCTCTCCTCTCCTCCTCCTCCTCCTCCTCCTCCTCCTCCTCCTCCTCCTCCTCCCTCTCCTCCCCCTTTCCTCTTTCCTCCTCCCTCCTCCTCCTCCTCCTCCTCCTCCTCCTCCAAATTTCTCCTCCCTCCTCCTCCCCGCCCTTCCGTGGTCGGCCCGCCGGCGAGAGAGGGCGTGAGCTGAGCACGGCCAGCACCAGGAAGCTCTGGCGCTCCGCCGCCGGGCCAGGTCGCCCCGGGCAGACCGCGCGGAGGATCGGGGTGTGGCGGGAGCCAGCGCCCCGCCGCCGAGGCCGCCGTCTCGCAGCACCTCGCTCCCAGCGGCCGAGCGAGCGAGTCGGGGGCGCTCTGTTGCCGAGGGCGAGCGCTCACGAGCGCCTCTGCCGGGCTGCCTGCTGCTTCCTCTCTCCCTCCTCCCTTATCTCTTCCTGCCTGCTGCTTCCTCTCTTCCTCCCTCCTTCCTCTCCTCCCTCCCTCCTCTCTCCTCCTCCCTCCTCCTCCTCTCTTCCTCCCTCCTCCCTCCTTCCTCTCCTTCCTGCCTGCTGCTTCCTCTCCTCTCCTTCCTCTCTCCTTCCTCCCTCCTGCCTCCTCTCTCCGGGCGTCAATGGTTTACTTGCGTGGTGCTCCCTCCCCCCCAGGTGGAGCCCATCCCTCAGGATGATCCGATCCTGAAGGCGCGACCCCCCGCCCAGCCACCGAGGATGATGGTGACCACAATGATTCAGATGCTGCTTGTGATGATAGAGCTGCTGCTGATGATGCAGATGAGATGATCGTGATGATGCCGATGATGATGATGATGATGATGATGCTAATGATGATGATGACAATGATGATGACGATGATGATGATGATGATGACGATGACGTGATGTGTCTGATTAATATGATGATGCTGATCATGCTGATAATGCTTATGATGAGATGATGATGGTGATGATGATGACGATAATGATGACGACGACGATGACGATGACGAGGACGATGATTGTGGTGATGATGATGCTGATGATGATGATGATGGCGAGGGGGGTGGTGATGTTGTTGATGCTGATGAGGAGAAGGAGGAGGAGGAGTAGGGAGGAGGAAGGTTATGGTGATTTTGCTCGCGATGGTGGTGGCAATGGTGATGGTGATAGTAATGATGATGCTGATGATGATGGTGCTGATGGTGGTCATGATGGTGGTGATGATGATGATGATGACGATGATGATGATGAAGAAGATGATGATGATGAGGATGAGGATGATGATGATGACTATGATGATGATGATGATGATGATGATGATGATGATGACGATGATGCTGCATCTGATGATGACGATACTGATCACGACGATGATAATGTTGCAGATGCAGATTATGTTGGTGAGGTTGTGTATGATGCTGCACATGCTGGCGATGATGATGCTGATTATGCTGATGATGATGCTGCTGCTGGTAATGCAGATAGTGATGCTGAGGTCGATACGATAATGATGATGACGACGACGACGATGATGATGATGATGATGATGATGACGCTGATGATGATGATGCTGATGATGATGATGATGATTGTGGTGCTGGTGATGATGATGATGATGCTGATGATGATGATGATGATGATGCTGATGATGATGATGATGATGATGATGATGATGATGATGATGGCGATGGGGGTGGTGATGTTGATGATGTTGATGGTGAGGCGTGGGAGGAGGAGGAGGAGGGAGAAGGAAGGTTTTGATGATTATAATAGCGATGGTGTGGGCCATGGTGCAGGCGATGGCAATGTTGATGACGATGATGATGGGGATGGTGGTGGTGGTGATGATGATGCTGACTTTGACGTTGATGATGATACTGCTGATGATGCCGATACTGATTACGACGATGATGACGTTGAAGATGAAGATGAAGATTATGATGGTGAGGATGCGTGTTATGCTGAAAATGCAGACGATGATGATGCTGGTGACGATGCTGATGATGCTGATTCTGATGATGATGGACGATGATGGTGCTGCTGATGCTGCTGATGATGATGCTGATGATGATGATAATGATGATAACGATGATGCTGATGATTGTGATGGTGGGGGTGGTGGTGGCTGTGGTTGGTTGTGGTGGTGTTGATAACGACAGCGATGCTGATGATGGTGATGATGATGCTGCTGCTGATGCTGGTGATGATGCTGCTGCTGATGATGATGATGATGATGATGGTGGTGATGACGATGCCGACGATGAAGACGATACTGATGATGCTGGTGATGCTGATGATGATGCTGCTGATGATGCTGATGATGATGATCATGATGGTGACGATACTTCTGGTGATTCTGATGCTGATGATACTGACGACCATGACCATGACAATCCCATTGCTGCTTTTGTTGATGATGATGACGAAAATGCGGATGACGATGATGTCGATGATGCTTAGGAGGAGGAGGAGAACGAGGATGAGGATGAGGATGAGGACCATGATGGTGTTGTCTCTTGATGGTGATGCTGATGATGGTGATGATGAGGATGTCGAACATGATGATGATGGTGATGCTGATTATACTGATGATGACGATGATGATGATAATCATGATGATGCTGATGCTGATGCTGATGCTGATGCTGATGCTGATGATGCTGCTGATGATGATGCTGATGTTGCTGCTGCTGATGTTGATGATGATCATGATCATGATGATGACGATGATGATGAGGACGATACTGATGTTGCTGATGCTGATGCTGATGATGCTGATGCTGATGATGATGATGCTGCTGATGATGATGCTGATGATGATGGTGAGGAGGAGGAGGAGGAGGAGGAGGAGGAGGTGGATGCTGATGATGCTGCTGCTGATGATGATGATGATGAGGATGAGGATGAGGATGATGATGCTGATGCTGATGATGATGATGATGATGATGATGATGATGATGATGATGATGATGATGATGATGATGATGATGATGATAATGATGATGATGATGATGATGCTGATGCTGATGATGATGATGATGATGATGATGATGATGATGATGATGATGATGATGATGATGATGATGATGATGATGATGATGATGAGGAGGAGGAGGAGAGGAGGAGGGGGAGGAAGGGGAGGAGGAAGAGGAGAAGGGGGTGGAGGTGGAGGAGGAGGAGGAGAAGGGGGGAAAGGGGGAGGGAGGGTCAAAGAGGATGATGGTAGTGGTGGTGGTGGTTGTGGTGGTGGTGGAGGAGGAGGAGGAGGAGGAGGAGGAGGACCAGGAGGAGGAGGAAGGATAAGGACGAGGAGGAGGAGGAGGAGGAGAACAAAGGATAAGGACGATGAGGAGGAGGAGGAGGAGGAGAGGGAGGGGGAGGAGGAGGAGGAGGAGGAGGTAGGACCACAAGGACGAGGCTCGTCTCAGCGTGTTTTGCCTGTGGGCGGGTCCCCATCAGTTTTGGCCCGCACGGCACTGCCGTTCGAGCCTGCACGAGGGTGGCTGCAGTGGAGGCCCATGCCAAGTTACATGCAGCCACATTTTCTCCTCGTGCTCCGTCCTCACTCTTCCCCTCTTGCTCTGCTGCTGCTCCTCCTCGTGGTCGTCGTCGTCGTCGTCGTCCTCCTCCTCCTCCTGGACCCCCCTGTAGACTCTAGCTCTACTCTCCCCAGCCCCCACCCAGAACCTCCTGCCACGTCCGGAGACCCTCCTATACAGTGGAGGCCCATGCCAAGAAACACCCTGCTTGCCTCCAAGGTGCCCTGGGTTTCTTTGGTTTCGATGGTTCTGCTATGGACAGCGTGGCGCTCTCGCACCAACAAAGATCGATGGACGTCCTGGGGTCTCAGGGTTGGGTTCCTTGTGGAAGGTTTCTTGTGGTCGGGCCCCTACTGTAATTTTCAGGGTCTCTTCTGGACCCACCTGCGCGACGGTCTCTCTTTGATGGCCAGGAGCCGCGGAGCCGGACATGAGCCAGGCGGGGAGAAAACACACATACACAACAAATCGGCGATTCCCAAGGAAATATGAGAAAGTATGGACAGTGGGGGGGAAGACAAACAAGCATAACACATGGACAAATATGGGGAATCTTGCGATTTGTGTCTATTTAGTTGTGTGTGTGTGTGTGTGTCGTGGGCCCCTTCAATGAGGGGCGTGACGCTTGTTGCCAGAAATGGCTTTTGCTCAAGGGTCCCCTGGCCTCTGGCCCCAGACTGGAGTGCGTCTGAGTCTTTCCGCACGTGCTGCGTGAGAGTACATGCGCGAGGAGGGTTGGCGTCAACAAGAGGGCTGCCCAGCACGTGTGCCTCGGTCTGCCCTTGGCACGTGCTTTCGTGTGTGCGTAGCTTTCCGCGCCAGAACCAGATGCGTGCGCGGAGGGGGTGGTGTCGAACGTGCGTCCGGCACGTGTGCCTTCGGCTTGTGCCTCATGCGTGCGATACGCGCGCGGAGGGCGTTGTGTCGAGCGTGCTTCTGGCACGTGTCTTTGTGCGTTTGCTTTCACGTGTGTAGGCGCCAAGGGGGGGACCGAACATGTGGTCGGCGGATTCTTCACGCGTGCAGAGGCGTGCGTGGGGGTGGTGGTGTCGAACATGCGTCTGGCACGTGCGCATGTGAGACGAATCTTGACGCTCGTATGTGCCCGGGGGGGGGTCCTCCCTGCCGCCTCCTTCCCTCTCCCTGCTTTGGCTGCCGCTGTTTACGCGATGCGCTGTGCTTATCAAATCACGGCGTGTGCAGTTACGTTTCCATGGTGTGAATACGTTGATATTCGAAGAAGAAATTTCAGCCAGCGTTGACTCCAAACAGATAGGAGGACAGGATAATGACGAGAGGAGGATGGGAGGGACGAAAGGAGGAGAGGAGCAGGACGGGAGGAGGACGGGAGGAGCAAAGTCAAGCAAGCGCAAGCAAGCAAGCGGAAGCAAGCAGGCGCAAGCGAGCAATAACAAGTTCGCAAGAGCCAGCGATCAAGTGCAAGCAAGCAAGGGCAAGCAAGAGCAAGCAAGGGCAAGCGATCAAGTGCAAGCAAGCAAGGGCAAGCAAGGGGTGCCATTGGAAATAAGGGGGGGTGCCACTGGAAAAAGAGGGGGAGGGAGGTGCCATTCGAAATAAGGGGGGGTGCCATTGAAAAACGGGAGGGGGGGGTCCTAAAGACCAATTGCTTATGATGAGCTAGGACTCCTACAGGGCAAGCCTTTTTGGAGAAACACGACATACGCATGCACTTTTGGCGCTCCGCGCTGATGTCTAGGGGCTGCCGGAGGCGCCGCCGGGGGGTCCCAGCGCAGCTCCAAGAACTCCGCGCGGAGCGCCAGACGTTCCTGTTCATGGCGTCTTTTCTTTCTTCTAGATATGGCCGGCTGGGTTTTCCAATGCCAATGGATCGGGAGACTCTTCATGGGGGGGGATCCCACGGGGGGATGGGCTCCCAGGGGGGGGGATCCCATAGGATCCCCTGGGGGGGGGGCATCCCATGGGGGGGATCCCCTCCTGCCCCCCCATGGGATCCCCCCCCATCCTCCCGAATGAAGCAAAGGTGTCTCGCTGGGGCGCCGAGGCCAGGGGGCGGCGGGCTGCGGCGGCCAGGAGTGGGGCAGGGACAGGGCGGGGGGGGTGAGGGTGCGGCTGCGGAGGCAGACGGCTGCGGTGGGGGTGGTGGAAGGGAGGGGGTGTGGGCCCTCCAAGACAAGCCATTTCAGACCCCCCCACGTGGGAGAACCCTCCAAAACATCGTCCCCAGACCCCCCCAGGCCCTCCAAGATAGCCCGGAAGAGACCCCCCCCTTCCGAAATGAGACCCCCCTCCCTTTCTTACGAAATCTGGAGTATCCTTGTAGCTTGTCTTTAGCGTCGATTCGCGTCGATTAGCTTCTGGGAGTGGATGAGATAGCGCCGATTTAGCGTCGGTTAGCGTCGTTTCGCGTCGATGTGGCGTCGGTTAGC